TGGAGGAAATTCATCATCTTTGATACATTGTGCCATTGTATTCATGTTTATGTTTTTTTCTGTAAATGTATTTTGTTTATTAATAAATGTTCACATAGAATAAAAAATATATAGGGGGTGGTAGGAGAAGAAAATATTCAAAACAGCTCCGGGGAGAACCTGAGTTTTCTCTGAGGTACGTTTATTGCCCTTCTCTGAGGATGAGGGTCCCCATTCCAGCTATAGAGGTGGTACTTCCCTATATATATAAAATATATATATATATATATATATATATATATATATATAAAATATATATTATATATATATATATATATATATATATATATATATATATAATATATTATATATATATATATATATATATATATATATATATATATATATATATATTATATATATATATAAAATATATATATATATATATATAATTTAATTTGTGGCCCTCGACTTATAAGTTTAGTGGTGAAATAGCCCGCGGTGTCGAAGAAGTTGGACTTCCCTAATCTAGAAAAAAATAAGTACAACAGTGTAAAAGAGATAGATAGATAGATAGGTAGATAGATAGACAGATAGATAGATAGATAGATAGATAGATAGATAGATAGAGAGAGAGAGAGTCTAACAGCATCAAGGCGTATCTAGTACTTGCTTGACAGTAGAGGCTACAAAACTCTGTATGAGGCACATGTAGCCTCACACATTATGTACCACTTTCTTGGACTGTCTGCTTCCCAGGTCTCATCTACTACTTCTGGGCAGAATACAGAACCAAGAAAGACGACTTATAATCGCCTGGACTCAGCCTGGATGAATCTATTATTTTAACAGAACCCTCAACATCGAAGAGACGTTGGTGGCATTACTGTTATGTACAAGGTCAATATTGTTAAGTTACCACACTTGGTTCCACTTCGCGGCAGCGACAAGACACCTTATATACCACAAGAGGGACAGCAAACAGGAAACGCAATCTATATAATCATAACCATAATTTTTAAAGGGGGTGGACCGGTAAGTCAGCGGAAGGCATCGGTGAGATGGCCAAAAGCTGCGGGTCATTATGTAACTACGACCCGCGTCAGGAAACATCCTGTTTCTTGACGAACTTACCTAACCTAACCTAAACTAGCAACCACACTCTGGCTGTACCATTCTCAAGAATATAATTTCATCCAAGATCATTTTTTTCAAGAATGACTCGAGTCTGGAACGCGTTCTTACGGCATAACAACATCGACGAAATGAAGTAAGTTGTCTAAATAAAATCTCTGGCCCACAACTGAGACAGTGACGGCGGACGTCCCGCCCTTGTGATGGGTCGTCTCACGTACTACTACTGCTACTACTACTACTACTACTACTACTACTACTAATAATAATAATAATAATAATTTTTTATTGATACAAGTACATGATACAACTTGAACATACCTAGCTCACACCACTGGTATACTGTATACAAAACCTCTGGTTATGCAGAGCATTTCGAGCAAATTAGGTTAATTTTGTCCCCATGATGAGACCCACACCAGTCGGCTAAGGAAACACGTCCAAATGTTTCCACCCGATGTATAATACTAGCCAGAACCTGTGTTCTGGTACGGGTCTTAGTCTTGTGACGTCTCTCTGTGGCTCCCGGAGGAGAGTGGGTTCTGCAATATTGCTGCATATGCTGCTCATGCGCTGCTCTTGGCAGTGGTGCGTCTCATCAACGAGAAAGCTGTTTGCAATCTATGTGTTCTGGCAGGAGCACTGTTTCATACACATGCCTATGCAAGGTACATATGCATATTTAGATGATCATTTCACGAAGACTCGTGTTAGGAGACACAGTGTCTTCTCCTGAGTAATACGATATAGGTGAGTACAGATAGCAAGTACGTCTGTCTCCGTTTCAGCAGACGGAACATCAAGCCTCCGCCACGTCTTGCCAGAATGATCCACAGTGCCGGCACTCTGAAGGAGAGGTGTTAATGTTGCAGTTTTATGAATGTAGTGTAAGCACGCCTCTGGCAAGACAATAAAGGAATGTGATGATGAAAGTTTTTCTTTTTTGGGCCACCCTGCCTTGGTGGGAAACGGCCGATGTGTTAATAAAATAATAATAATAATAATAATAATAATAATAATAATAATAATAATAATAATAATAATAATAATAATAATAACGGCATATATAACTAGATACCAGAAAGGTTCCACAGTGTCTCACAGCAGAGAGGATGTTGCGAGGGAGATACACAACACTCCTCTCTGTTTTGGTATATCGATTAAATATACCAATCTGTCTTCACAGTTCCGGGTTCAGTCTCTTTGCAAGCCGTTGCACAGCGTGGGAGGGGCCAGCAGGAATCACAGTGTGGGCGAAGCTAGCAAGCATGACAGTGTGGGCGAAGCCAGCAGGCATCACAGTGTAGGCGAGACCAACGGGCATCACAGTGTGAGCGAGGCCGGCAGGCAGCAGCCACGGTGTGGGTGGGATCAGCAGACAGCGGTCACAGTGCGAGTGAGGCCAGTAGGCAGCAGCCGCAGTGAGGATAGCAGGCAGTGGTTGCTGTGGGAGGGATCCGCACGCAGCAGTCACTATGGGCCAGCAGGCAGCGGTCACTGTGTGAGGGGCCGGCAGGCAGTGGTCACTGTGGGAGAGGCAAGCAGGCAGCGGTCACTGTGGGAGGGGCCAGCAGGCAGCGGTCACTGAGGGTGGGGTCAGCAGACAGCGGTCACTGTTGGAGGGGCCAGCAGGCAGCGGTCACTGAGGGTGGGGTCAGCAGACAGCAGTCACTGTGGGAGGGGCCAAGCAGGCAGCGGTCACTGAGAGTGGGGTCAGCAGACGGCGGTCACTGTGACAGTGGTCAGCAGGCAGCAGTCACTGTGGGAGGGGCCAGCAGGCAGTGGTCATTGTGGGAGGGATAAACAGGCAGCAGGCACTATGGGAGGGGCCAGCAGGCAGCGGTCACTGTGGGAGGGGCCAGAAGGCAGCGGTCATTGTGGGAGGGCCAAGCAGGCAGCGGGCACTATGGGAGGGACCTGTAGGCAGTAGTCACTGTGGGGGGCAAGCAGGCAGCGGGCACTATGAGAGGGCCCAATAGGCAGTGGTAACTGTGGGAGGGGCCAGGAGGCAGCTGTCACTGTGGGAGGGGCCAGCAGGCAGTGGTCTCTGTGGGAGGGGCAGCAGGCAGTGGTCACTGTGGGAGGGGCCAGCAGGCAGTGGTCTCTGTGGGAGGGGCCAGCAGGTAGCTGTCACTGTGGGAGGGCCAGCAGGCAGTGGTCACTGTGGGAGGGGCCAGCAGGCAGTGGTCTCTGTGGGATGGGAGGGCCAGCAGGCAGTGGTTACTGTGGGAGGGGCCAGCAGGCAGTGGTCTCTGTGGGAGGGGCAGCAGGCAGTTGTCACTGTGGGAGGGGCCAGCAGGCAGTGCTCACTGTGGGAGGGGCAACAGAGGTCACTGTCGGAGGGACAGCAGACAGAGGTCTCTGTGGAAGGAGCTAGCAGGCAGTGGTCACTGTGGGAGGGGCAAGCAGGCAGCGGGCACTCTGGGACGGCCCAGTAGGCAGCAGTCACTGCGGTAGGGCCCAGTAGGCAGTGGTCACTGTGGAAGGGGCCAGCAGGCAGCTGTCACTGTGGGAGGGGCAGCAGGCAGTGGTCTCTGTGGAAGGGGCCAGCAGGCAGCTGTCACTGTGGGAGGGGCAGAAGGCAGTGGTCACTGTGGGAGGGGCAGCAGGCAGTGGTCTCTGTGGGAGGGGCAGCAGGTAGTTGTCACTGTGGGAGGGGCAAGCAGGCAGCGGGCACTCTGGGAGGGCCCAGTAGGCAGTGGTCACTGTGGGAGGGGCCAGGAGGCAGCTGTCTCTGTGGGAGGAGCTAGCAGGCAGTGGTCACTGTGGGAGGGGCAAGCAGGCAGCGGGCACTCTGGGACGGCCCAGTAGGCAGTGGTCACTGTGGGAGGGCCCAGTAGGCAGTGGTCACTGTGGGAGGGACCAGCAGACAGCTGTCACTGTGGGAGGGGCAGCAGGCAGTGGTCACTGTGGGAGGGGCCAGCAGACAGCTGTCACTGTGGGAGGGGCAGCAGGCAGTGGTCACTGTGGGAGGGGCCAGCAGGCAGTGGTCTCTGAGGGAGGGGCAGCAGGTAGTTGTCACTGTGGGAGGGGCCAGCAGGCAGTGGTCACTGTGACTCACGAAATCGTAATGACACGATTGAAAACCAACCATTCCACGGGCGGGGTTAGAACCCGCGATCAGAGTCTCAAAACTCCAGACCGTCGCGTTAGCCACTGGGGCAGCTAGCTTCAATAAGATTCATCCAACTAGGTATATTTATACACCATAGGAAGGTTAGCATAGGCACCACTGTGACCTCCCACAGTGGCCCCGGCCACTGTGGGAGGGGCCAGCAGGCAGCGGTCTGTGGGAGGGGAAGCAGGCAGTGGTCACTGTGGGAGGGGCAGCAGTGGTCACAGTGGGAGGGGCCAGCAGGCAGGGGTCACTGTGGGAGGGATCAGCAGGCAATGGTCACTGTGGGAGGGACCAGCAAGCAGTGGTCACTGTGGGAGGGGCCAGCACTCACTGTGGGAGGGACCAGCAGGCAGTGGTCACTGTGGGAGGGGCCAGCACTCACTGTGGGAGGGGTCAGCAGGCAGTGCTAACAAGGAGGGGCAGTTCCTTAAAAACTGTGATTTATGGGCTATGGTTAAATTTTGTGATGGGTTGAGGTTAAACGTTTTGATGGGCTGAGGTTAATCGTTTAGAAGGAGAGAGCTTAAATGTTTCGATGTTGAGAGGTTAAACGTTTTGATAGGGTGAGATTAAACGTTTCGATGGGGTGAGGTCAAACTTTTTGATGGGGTTAAGGTTAAACATTTAGATGGGGAGAGGTTAAATGTTTCGATACGATGTGGCTAAACGCTTTAATAAGCTGATGTTAAACATTTTAATGGGCTGAGGTTAAACAAACGTTCAGACAATACTTCCAAAACATTTTATATTATCTTAGTTTCAATTATATACATAAAATAAAGAGAATGCACGTGAAAGGACACAAAGGGACATAATATCTAAAAATATATTATATGTGACTTAAAATCAACAAGAGACAGGCAAAAAAACTAGGTCACATCTGCCGGCCATAAATAAGGTCAAAGTATAAGTTTGTTTTTGTAATAACATTAAACTGCAACCCGTAAACAGGCGAAGATATGAAAAGCTCACCTTGAGATATGACTGATAGTTCCTAAGTGCCATTGAAAGTGACCCTAACGCAACACTTGCAACAGTATCGTAAATCCCAGCCACACTTGCTGCAGTATCTCATGTAAAGTCCTCCATCCGACAGCATCGTCTGTCTGCTGCACCACGCTAAATTTATCTTAGACACGACAATTGCACTCATATGCACCATTGGTTTCCTGCAACTTATCCCTGTACTAGAATAGCATCAAATCGTCTTAAACACTGATAAAATATCTACATTATTGCTAGGTAACATAAAAAAAATATGTATAATTTGTTCTCTTATTGCAATCTTTCCTACATAACTGTAAAATCTATAGCAACTCTCATCATCATGTAGCTAATATCAGTGATAATTTAGCACTGCTTACGCCATCTAGCGGAGTGACTGTCAAGTAAGCCGGTGAATGTGGCAGACCGTGATGATACTGTTCCACGAGGCCCATCTAAAGCCCTAGCACACAGGTCAGAAAGCTCGCAGAGTTTACAAAAATACCAAAACTAAGATAACGAACTATGTACATCCTATTTACACACTTCAGACATCTTGTACTTCACCGGAAGATACCACGAGAGCGACGTCTTCGTCTACTACCAGTTATAACGCCTCAACAAGTTCACATCCTTTAAAGGGAAGATGGCAGCAGGTTGCTGCTGCCCTCCCACCAGATACAACCAAGGAACCACCTCCGGCTCTTTGGTTTCGTGTTCCAGAGCCGAGATTTCAGGCTAAGGACTTTGAATAAGTTTCTGATTATCCAGGTCTTTTCGCCAGATCCTGGGTTTCTGTTGTAGGCGGCAGGTCTCAGCTCTGAGGTAAATATCATTGGTTGGTAGTTACTGTATGTATGATGTATGTATGCATGTATGAACATAAATATGTATGCTTGTGTGATGGATGTATATATATATATGTATATCTGTGTGTTGTGTGTGTGTGTGTGTACTCACCTAATTATGGTTGTAGGGGTAGAGACACAGCTCCTGGCCCCTGTGTGTATGTGTGTGTGTGTGTGAGTGTGTGTGTATCACTTACTAATGGAGCACCATTCACATATAATGCCCACAGGTTACATTTGGAGATCATCACAACATTCTTGAACACAATAGCATTTCTAAATAATTTTATAAGTAAATAATAGACAACAAACTTCCATGGAATATAAACTATAAGAAAGAGAAAGGAAGAAGCACATCACTTACATAATTTATATCATAACATTAAGTAAGTGCGAGACGTAAGTCATTGGTTCAGCAATATCTTAAAACCTATATTGCAACGAATCCACATACATTTTATGCACTTCTAGCGCCGCAAAATAATAATAATAATAATAATAATAATAATAATGTCATATAACTGCCCATATCGCCAGCACACTCTGCTTCATAGTAGATCTCATTATATGCACAAATGGCATATATGAAGAAAACCCTTTGACTTTTCTTTTATGGAAATATATATTTTATATACTTATAATATAATGCCTTTAATTTTTTTTTATTTAGCTAAGTATAAAAATACGTTTCGCACATAAGCTATCGAGGTCGGTCTGTGTTTTATCCTTGGTGTGGAGCCGGCACCAGTTGATCTGGTATTCACAGCAGTGCCAGGTCTAACTCATCCCTCAGCTACCAGCGACAGGTCAGGTGGCCATAGCGGTGATGTGTATTGGACGTGGCATCAATGCTGCACCCCACACCACAGCACGAGAGTCGCCGAGACTTAAACATTGGCGTATAACTGACACCCAGTTAGGACATCCTCGCCCAGTATGAGCACATAATCTCACTCTACGTTTGACTCATAAGAAGAACGTTCGTGAAATTTGAGTTGTTGAATTTGAAATGCCTCTTGTCGTAGAACTTCAGTAGTGCGGGACTGTAGGGATGATTGTCCTTGAGGTGAAGATAATGGCATTCTGGTTCTCCAGTTGTGTGGCCACACTCCTCGCATACGTACACCTTGGACCGCCTCTCCTTGTAGGCGTAGCTGTGTTGAACCCCGTGTACCTTGAGGCAATGCGACTCCAGGGAACACCGCTGAGTGAACGACTTCTCGCACAGATTGCACTTATACGGTCGCACTCCTGCCGACAGTAAACACCAGGATTAGCTTCATCACCCCCTTTGAAATAAATATATTTGTAACTGTTACATTTAGTACTATTAATTAGTATGTTTAATAATATCGCTATTGTGTTTCAAGAGATGCTTAACCCGCGTGAGTTATTAAGCATACGGTATGATAGAGGCTTGATCCTCCTTTCACAAACACCAATAGAGTATTTGAACCACTGTGCAGTACATTATATATATATATATATATATATATTATATATATATATATATATATATATATATATATATATATATATATATATATATATATATATATATATATATATATATATGCAAAACAACCACTCTGAAAAAATAGAGAAATTCCAAGCGCTTTCGTGACTACTCACATTATCAAGGAACTAGTTCCTTGATAATGTGAGTAGTCACGAAAGCGCTTGGAATTTCTCTATTTTTTCAGAGTGGTTGTTTTGCATATTCCGAAATCACCTGTTTACTGTGATCTTATTGCATATATATATATATATATATTATATATATATATATATATATATATATATATATATATATATATATATATATATATATATATATATATATATATATATCATTCATCAACTTCACAACAGTGAGGTAGAGGGATGGAGCTTTACATGTAGTTGAAGGTTGAGGCAGAAACTCACCTGTATGAGTACGAGTGTGGCGCTTGAGGTCAAAGGTATCGTTAAATCCTTTCCCACAGAAGGTGCAAAGGTATCGCTTAACGTCGGAGTGACACTTCATGTGGCGATTAAGGAGTCGCTGTAAACTGAACGTTTTGGAACATATACGACACACGAATTTGCTGCTGTCGTCCTCCATAACTGCAAAATTTATAATAATAATAAATATAATTTATAATTATAATTCTTATAATAATATTTAATAATAATAATAATAATAATAATAATAATAATAATAATAATAATAATAATAATAATAATAATAATAATAGTAATAATAATAATAATAATAATAATAATAATAATTTAATAAGATGGTCATAGAGATTCGAGCAACAATAGCCAGAGTTGTCTCTGCTCTTTAATTTATTGTATCATACATTCACGTGATACATAGAAGTCAAAATGTAATAGCAGGAAAATTCACAACTAACCCACAATTCGGAAACGGATATGTAGTGGCAGCTTCAGAAAGAACTATGATCGGAAATATTGTCTACTTTCCATTTCCAAATTGTTGGTTAGCAGTAAACGTAAAAAAATAACTGAAAACACAATCGATAGTTAAATAATTCTGCACGTCAATAGTAGTCCAGTAAACCGAGCTAGTGTGTACCTGGAGGCGGTGGCTGCAGCTTCTCAGAAACCTCTGGACGCGGGGAGTCGAGATTCGGTGCCAGCGGGTTCTTTATGCCGTGGCCTCCGTTGACGAACTCGAGGGGCGTGTCCTCAGGAAGGCCAAGCCTCTGCTGAAGGATAGACACTCGCACTTGTAGAGGCACCTCGCGCTGTTTAAGGACAGGCACGTTATATTTGAATATTTGTGTTGATGTTCCAAAGACATCTGATAACACGCAGAGAAGCTAACAGTCAACGCAGTGGATAAATTTTAAACGTTACTCTGCTGATTGCGTATTTCTGAAGGTAGCAATGCTGAGCATATCATGAAATATGACTATGAAAATTAGCGCTGCAAGAACTTTTTAGCATTTTTAAGCTTACTAGGCATCCTACCTGTAGATCGTGCAATGGCGGGGATGAGGCATCCATGATAGAGCTGCCTCCTGGAGAAGGTCGACTGGGGTAGCTGGTTTGCATGTATTGGGGAGACATGGGTGACCGCTCACACCACCCGCTCTGTAGGTCCGTCGACGACACCAGAGGAACCTGAATATTCAATATATCCGTAATAACTGTCGCAGCAACAAATATGAACAATTTTATTGCTCACGAACACGGAAAAAATTAATAAATGGAATTTTACTTATTTTATTACTGTGAATAGATATGTTTTATTGAAAACCTTACAAAACGCAAAAAATATACGACCACAGAAATAGTATAAACAATATAAATGCGTCACATATTGCCTTTTCAATCTTAATGCATAACATAAAGTTTACAACTAAGAAGACCAAGTGGTAAGGCACAAGGCTTCTAGTTCCAAGTCTTTGTGAATAGTGATTTGACTCTCAATATATTTTATTTTTTACTCAGACGTGAAGGTTTGTGACCAACCTGTGTTTGAGTGGTGAGAGGCTCGAAGGTTTGTGCCTCTGGCGGGGACCTGAGGATTGTAGTGCCGCTGGTGAGGGGCGAGGAAGCGCAGCTGAGGGGCGGAGATACAGGTAGCGGTGAAGGTGACAGTGGTGGTATTGTATACTGGGACTGTGTTTGCTGAGACTGGATTTGCTGTGTCTGAAAGTGTGTTTGATGTGTCTGTTGTTGCTGTATTTGGTGCTGTTGCTGTGGCTGTATGTGTTGAAGGTGTTTTTCCCTGAAATGTGCAGGTGCTGGAAATGCCTGAGAGGTGTCACTGGCAGTGAGTGGGATGCTGCGGCAATGCTCCGGAAGGGAGTACACATGGGGCTCCACAGGGGCCGGGATTGGCGGTGGCAGTGATGTAGTTTCTACGTTGGACATCCCCCCTGAGGGATTCTGACCCCCGCCACCAGATCCATCAGCGCCACCAAGTCCGCCCTTGTCTCCACCAAGACCAATTGAACCGAAAAATGAGAGAGATGCCTGCGAAGAGTCAACATAGCCGCCGTTAGAACCGCTGCCGTGTTGACTTTGAGGTGGACCACCGCCGTTGCCCTGACCACCGCCATCCTCTGCGCTGGTGACCTGCGTAAGATGCATAGAGGCGAGAACCGGTGGCAGTGACTGCGGCGACACGCTGCGGGGAGAGCGTGCACGACGGGTCGTCAAGTCATAAGGTAATATGGAGTCGTCATGGTAGCGGGATGGTCGATGATCGTAGTCCATCGGTGATGGCGCTCGTTGGTGCCGTCGCACGTCGCAGAAGGGCGGCAGACGCGGGGATGCGGCACGACGGGGCACATGGCAGTCAAGCGGTGTGTCTTGCGGCGGCAGTAACATATCCGCGGGTGGCAGGGCTGGAGACCTAGAGCGAAGGATAAGGGCTGGTCGGGGTAGCAAGCGGCTGATGGGAGGTAAGCTGCGGCGTGTTCGATCCGAGGGGTCGAGGCGGCTTGGGCTGCGTGGTCGAGCATCGTCGCGCCAGTACCCACTGTCATCATCTGAAGGAGAAAAATAAGTTAGAGCAAGTGTGTTGTGATAAGTTAAGTATCTAGGTATCTTAAAATTAATCTGCAGTGTAACACAGTTTAATGTGACTTTATTTTGTTGTGTGGTATTCGCTAAAATATTAAGTATTCACTAAAGCGCCAAAGTTACATCCTATCTTTATTTACTACAAGTACATGTACAAGGTATACAGTCCTAGCTGACATCAGTAACATACTATTTAGAAAGCCCCTTGTTATGCAGAGCATTTCGTGCAAATTAAGTCAGTTATGTCCCAGGATGCGACCCACACCAGTCAACTAACACCCAGGTACCCATTTTAAACTGATGGGTGAACAGGGACAGGGACAGCAGGTGTCTTATGGAAACACGTCCCTAATGTTTTTCCAGCCGTGCCGGAGAAGATTCGAACCCCGGACCTCAGTGTGTGAGCTGAGTGCGCTAGTGATCGAGCTAGCGATCAATCCTATTATTATTAAAAAAATATATTGAGAAAATCTAATGCAGCCAACACTCGTATATATTGTAATTTCCTTTTAAAATCTAGTTAAAGTAGGATGGAGATGGTAAGAAAAGATTTATAGATCAAAGTGGTGCGTGTGAGGTGGCAAGTCTCCTGGGTCACATGAGGTCAAGTGAGGTCCCCAAGACAGCCGTACGCCAGAAAGGAAGACCGTAGAGACCATTGTACATGTACTTGGATAGGGAAACTTGATTCACTTATTGTCCACAAGTGCTTAATTACGAATAATGGATTCTGGTTTCTGTCAGGATAAATGTTCAACTGGAATACGAATCTGTAACACTGAGAAAGGATTCTTATGCAGGGAGTCGTCAGGTCTAGCGGTATTCTGCAGACTTTCTCGCATGACCTATGATGACCCTAATCTGACCTGACTTGGCTTTTATTCCTCATCTCATCAGCGATCACCAAAACCAGACTTGTGTACCAGCCAACCTCTGCCCAGTAAAATTTCTTACTTTCACTGCTCTTTACTACTCTCGAGGGAGAATACAAAATGTATTTTTTTTTCACTGTGTTGATTTCGTACGAAGAAAACAGCAAACCATTGTCAATAAGCACTGGATGAGCACTTTACCCCGATGAGATTTGGGGTCTCCTGGGACCTGCGTCTGGGATTTCGAGGCAGCATCCCCTGGGACAAGAGCAGCTTCTTCCACACTACAATCGTCCAGGTTCCTCAAGAATGATTAGTGAAAGCTGGGTAGGCGGGGCTTTTAGCCCATTGTTCCCTTTCCACTCCCCAGGGACTTACCTTCTGCAGGGTACTTCCCTCCAAATTAGCTGATCTTACTCTTGAGTTTCATAGGAAGCTACGACCAGGTAAAATTTTAGGGCTGGTAAAGCTATCTTATACAATACAATTTTACAGTATATTTTGTATGGAAATCGTATCTGCCAGATTAACGTTTAACATAAAATGGTCGTACATGTATTAATAATTTAAATCACGTCATTATTGTAGTACAAAATTTAACTTACACTATAATAATGGTGAAAGTGTTTGGTTTAATATCAGTTTTTTTTTTTTCTGGAGACAAAAGTGACAAAGTCCTCGTACTATACGTATAAAAATAATTCCAGATTCTGAGCATTTTTTACGAGCACCTGCATACCCCGAGTGGTTCCTGTCTAATGACAGCACGATAGCATCGTTCCCTTGGGACCTTATCCTGGCTCTCATCCTGTCTCTTCCCCGCGCAGAAAGATGCTAATGTATATGTTTTCATGGAACATTGATTTTAATTCATACGCTGTGGAAATAGTCACTTTCCGATAGTGCGTTAGGTACGCTCAAGCTTAGTGTTAATTTAAGTGTTTACAAAGATCAGCTGTTGCTGGTATGTAACTTTAGGACGAGAAAGTTAATTTCAATTAGGATATGAAATACCAATATTTAATAAAACTCTCAAAAGCAAATTGGAAGATATCAAGTGTCAGTAGCCACAATATCCAGGACGGTGAATGCTTTCGCCTTAAATACACTGATGATGCATAATTTGGGAACCAGAATATCCGAACAGCGCATGTGTTTCATACGCAGATGCTGTATAGAATGTATATGCTACTTCGTATTGTTTTGTAAGAGTTGGGTGACACAGCTGACTGACGCTTAGGAAGAGACACAGAAGAACGGAAAGGGAGAGAGACCTCATTATTCCGTATAGGGATGTGTGAGTTTACTGACACAGCAGAGGATGTTGATGAGGGGACATGGAGGAACGGGAAGAGTGCGGGACACCACCAACACATCCGGGGGCCCTCACTTCCGCGTTCACTATTAGAGGAAGCGACACGCTGGGGACGGAACAATGATTTAGCTGTTCATGAAATTATATTTAGGGTTTCCTCTACAAAGCTGTGGGGGCGACGTGTTCTCCAGTAGAGCGAGCGAAGCTTTGTGGCGGCAAGAGTGTTGTGGTTCTGTCTGTAACGGGACGCAAGTGGTTTGTGAGCAGCAAGGTGGGAGATGGCGTGTGAAGAGGAGATGAGGGGAAGGAAAAGGAGAGAGGGGAAGGAAGATGACGAGGGCGAAAACAACGATAACTACAACGAGGAGTAGAAGCATGAAGGAGTGAAGAGGAAGAGAGGCATTAATGGTATTCAGGGAAGATGGCGGGGTTGGTGCTTGTCACAGAGCAAGCATTCTCCACACATCTCCAGCCTTCGCCGCCATTTTGCTGCAAGCTGGCGGGAAGAGGGAGAGGGAAGCATGCCTTGTGGGGTGAAAGATTGTTTGCTTGGTATTTTCGTCATCAGGAAACGGTGTTTTGAGAGGGATGTAATTGTAATTTGACCCATCGGTGGCTACTGAAAGAAGTTATCGATGCTGTAAAAGTGGTACAACGGCAAGAGTTCGGTAATTCGGGACCAATGGCTGATTGCTGTCTGGGAATCAAGGTACCGTTGTTGCTATGGCTGCAGTATGGTAGATCTCAACAAAGCATTGTCTACTGTTTTATTTTGCAGAAGTGGCGTCGCAACTGGCAGTGGTGTACAACGGTGGAGAAGCTCTTCTCCAAACTCTACGTAAAAAAAAAATCTGTTATATGTCTGTCGGTTACCTGTGGCCTATGATGACGGTCGATGGACAAGATATTCCTCAGAGAGAGTGGAAGAGGTAAAGAGGGCTCGGTGTCTACGCTGCTCAGGAAGCTCCCGAACAACACTGAATTAAGGCCACATTTGTATCTATAATAATACTTGTAAACAGAAGTGGAGGTAGGGATGTGGAGCAATTAAGAAATGTTTCAAATACATGAGTCTCAGGGCAGGCGAGAAGAATAGTAATTAATGCGAGTATGTTTATCCCCAGTGATGCCATTCTCTATTAATTTAAGTTTTTTGAGTAACGAAATGAAAACTGTTTAATAACCAAGTTAACATAGCTAAAGTAACACCATTACATCAACTATATAGACCTTTAAAATATTTATATATAAAATATGCAGCACTGTAAAGCCTAAATAGAAAAATGTTACGTTTTATCTGATCAAGGAATATCAGAAATCTTTCCTACGAAGACTGACTGAAAGCAATTTGCACTCTGGACTGAAGCTGAATCAGGAAGGTGATGGATATAACCGAAGAGCACAAATGAAAAATAGGAATAAATAAAAAGGAATATAAATAACGAGCTGAAAATGTGTAACCAAGACAGTACGGCAGCAATGAATTCAAGATGGATAAATTTATATTTAAAAATAATATAGGGGTACTTTTTAGCAAGAAAGTTGTAATTGAGTGGAAGAAACTCCCAAATAGCGAAATTAAAAAAAGAAACGATAACACTGGGTAGCTTTCAAAATTGATTGGACGGGTACATGAGCGGACTTGGGTGGATGTAAGCTGGACCTGCCTAACATGGGCCAATAAGCCTGCTACAGTGCACTAATGCTCAATGGGTTTTCATGCAATATCTGGTATTATTGCAAGGGTATATGAGGCTCAGGTACCGATGGGCAGACCACCAGATAACGTGTCATGCCTGCAGCAGAGATGTGTGTGCAGGACTTCGTAAGTCAGAAAGTGAAGTCCCTTCAGTTTATCATATATTTTGTATAATAACAGCTGTGCCATAAGGAAGACATTGTCCTCCTTATGGCTGCTGTGTAAATAAACAATAGATCAACGCAGTTGCGTAGACGAAACTATTGTACTGGCGTAGATGTTTTCAGGGATCGAATCATAGCTCTTGGTCCCGGTTGTTAACTATTATCGACATGTTTCACTAATTCCTGATTCCAAGCTCCAGTCTTGCCCACTAGTGAAACTGAGCATAATACAATCCACTACAACTTCTAAAGTGTTTCACTTACTAACGTGCAATTTAAAGTGTTTCCTCACGTCGTTCAATTGTCTTCAGCTGCCATATATGTCCTCTAAGTCCCTCTACTTACTGTTAATAAAATAATTTGACAAACTCATCAAATGTTTGCAAATTTGCATAAATATTGATATCCACTGCAGATTTATTGAGGTTGTGTTATCTACTATGATAGCCGTGTTAAATAAAGTGTTGTATATCCAGCGGCAGGACCAACAGAGGCAGCTACCAACACAAACAACATTAAGTAATATCTCCATTTTTTTTTTTACAGAGAACAATTTTCCATGCTAAGAGTTGTTATCCTGCCTCAGCTTAAAGTTCCAGCCCTATCTAATATATACTACCACCCCTCAGGATGCCACTCACAGTCGACTAACACCCAGGTACCTGCTTACTGCTAGGTGAACAGGGGCAGCAGGTGTAAAAAAAAAAACATCAACAACGTGCCCAACTTTTCCACCCGACCAGGGATCGAACTACTGACACTGTGTGAGTTTTACCAGTGCAATTCACAGTACCGCCGCCGGCAGGTGCAACAAAGGGCACCATCACCACAAACGACATCAAGGAGCATGTCTTCTACCACCGCCACCCACAGTAACGCCGCCGGCACATGCACGGCCTTGAACTCTGCTGATGAT